GGATCGCAAGAATCAAGTCAAAGATTTGAAATACAAAGAAGCAAAAAACACCCAACCGGAAAAACAAAAAGAAAAAAGAATCCAAAAATATCAAGATAGTGTAAGGAGCCTCTGGGACAACTTCAAGCGTACTAATATCCGAATTATGGGGGTGCCAGAAGAAGAGAGAGAGCAAGATGTTGAAAACCTATTTGAAGAAATAATGACAGAAAACTTCCCCTACCTGGTGAAAGAAATAGACTTACAAGTCCAGGAAGCACAGAGAACCCTAAACAAAAGGAACCCAAAGAGGACCACACCAAGACACATCATAATTAAAATGCCAAGAGCAAAAGACAAAGAGAGAATCTTAAAAGCAGCAAGAAAAAACAGTCTTTTACCTACAAGGGAGTACCCATACGACTGTCAGCTGATTTCTCAACAGAAACTATGCAGGCCAGAAGGGAGTGGCAAGAAATATTCAAACTGATGAATACCAAGAACCTACAGCCAAGATTACGTTACCCAGCAAAGCTATCATTCAGAACTGAAGGTCAGAGAAAGAGCTTCACAGATAAGAACAATGTAAAGGAGTTCATCTCCACCAAACCAGTATTATATGAAATGCTGAAAGGTATCCTTTAAGAAGAGGAAGAAGAAGAAAAAGGTAAAGATACAAATTATGAACAACAAATACACATCTATCAAGAAGTAAATATAAAAATCAAGTGAATAAATAATCTGATGAACAGAATAAACTGGTGAATATAATAGAATCAGGGGCATAGAAAGGGAGTGGACTGACTATTCTTGGGTGGTTGGGGGGGAGGGGGTATGGGGGGTGCGGGAGGAGACTGAACAAAAATCGTGCACCTATGGATGAGGACAGTGGCGGGGGGGGGGGGGGGGGGGGTAAGGGCAGAGGGTGGCGTGGGAACCAGGTGGGGGGAGCTATGGGGGGAAAAAGAGGAACAACTGTAATAATCTGAACAATAAAGATTTATTTAAAAAAAATAAAAAAAGAATACTAAGAAGTGGGGGAAGCATAAGTAGGAAATAAGATAAATCATGGGAGGTTTATTTTTCTAGGCACAGGGAAAATGGAAGGAGGAGTAAAGAACATTAAGAACCTCATTAATAACATCCTGGTAAAAAAAAAAATCTTGCAATTGGCAGGTAAAAAATGTGATTGAAATTCTGTTTTTTAAATGTTTGCAGGGCACATAATAAAATATTTTATTACAACGAAAAGAGAAAGATTGTTTTGCTTTCTGTTTCAGGTTAATCAACTGCTATCAATATCTTCTGGGGAGGGGAATCACACTTAATGAAGGGCCCCCTACATTAAGAAGAGCAGCTTGGTGGTTTTGGGGAAGTGCGGAGAGACAGAGAGAAAAAGATGGAGAGGAAGTAGAAGAGAGAACCAGAGAGCTAGAAGGAGGCAAGGGGTAGGGAGATCTGAAGTTACAGGGCTAAGATAAAAGAGGAGCCAACCAGAAAAAGAAAAACTGAAATAAAATAATTCAGTAAAACTCCACGGTGGTAGGCAGCCAAAGGACATCATGATACCTGGGAAGCTGACTGATTCATTCCAGGTTATTTCTGTAACTACTATGTAAACTTTGCTGCTATCCTTTCTCCAAATCTTCACTAAAGGCTCTTAAACTCATGAATGTTTTATGGGAATGGGCTTTTAGTGAACATCATTCAGGGAACTCTGGGGTTTTTTTCTGGGTCAATGTAGTGCAGAAATCTCAAGAAGCACCTCAGACTCCCACAGGCCTTTGGAATGAGAGGTGTCCAAGTCAGTTTTTTTTTATTGGAGATGTCTGGGGCTCAGGATGAATGAAGCAGGTGGGGATTTCTATGACATTTGGCTTATTCAAAGAAAAGCTGTCCTGCATAGAAAAAAAAAAATCAAACCTACTTTCTCTTAAAGATTTTTAACCCAGAACATTATCATTGCCAGGTTTGGTAATTCATAAAGTCATTTTCAACTTTTATTAATGTCTTTTTTCATGGGGTAACACTGCCACCTATTGGTATTTGTAAAAAATAACTTTTATAATAGTTTTAAACTTGAAATTGTTTGCCAACCTTAGTCTTTCATTTACTGACAAATTCTTCCTTTGTGCTGTAACACAAAAGTAGATGAGGTTCTTTGTCCTCAAAGACTTTATATTATCTAACTAGAGGCCCAGTGCACGAAATTTCTGCATTCGGGGGGTCCCTCAGCCCAGCCTATGCCCTCTCACAGTCCGGGAGCCCTCAGGAGATATCCAACTGATAGCTTAGGCCCACTCCCACAGATATCCTTAGCACTGCCGTGGAGGTGGGAGAGGCTCCTGCCACCATCACTGCGCTCACCAGCAGTTAGCCCAGATTCTGGCTGAGAGGCACTCCTGCTGTGGGAGTGCACTGACCACCAGGGGGCAGCTCCTGCATTTATGTTATCTGAAACTGGACACAGGATGTGTTGTTTCTGGACCAGGGTGTAGAGGTCTGGACAGACCAGGAGTATATCAGTGACTGAGTGGTGTGACTTAGAAGCAGAGGCCATTACCCCCATTTTCCTGTGAATTTGACTGGTGCCTCCCTCTCATGGGGGTAGAAATACACTAACCCCACACTCCCAACTCCAGGAATCCCCGCCCTATTGAGCTCAGGCTCCTGGCAGAATTTTGGACAGACTAAATTGTGTGGCTCTAGGATGGGGGCCATTTTTCCCACACACATTTGAGTAGTGCAGAGCCCTCTCTTCAGGTAACCAAATCTTGGTCTGTCTGGGTCTCATAAATTCTGCTGGCATTACCCTAACAACTCCTTGAAACCCCACCCTACCATAAAGGTATGCAGGCACCCAGCAGGGGGCAGCTAGACTTTTTATACATGGGACATTTGCTGAGTGGCCTAAGACCCAGCATTTGCACTAACTTTGAACCTACATCAATCTGGTGACCACCACTCACCCCCTACCTGATGACTCACTGAGAACCTATCTCATGCAACTCGAATACCACCAGAGCTCTTTCAGTGACGGAGCCTACCAGGCAGCCAAAAGATGGACAGAGGCAAAGGCAGATTTCAAGGTGCCTTGAAACTTTTGCTCATTTGAACCCTGGGCCCAGTGCTGGTAAAAGACAGCCTTGGTGTGCAGCTTGGTCCTTCCCATGCACACCCAGGTCCAGCATACACAACCACAAACTGTGGATCACTTTGTCACTCCAAACAGGTTGCCCAGGGCCAGTCAAAGACAGCATCTGACATTGGCCTGCACCAGAATCCCACAAGAGGCCCCAGAAACAAAACACCCAGTGGCCAGCTTCAGATAACATCAGAGCAGGATCCAATTAGCTTCACAGGTAGAATATCTAAAGGAAGATCTCAGCAGGCACCAGACCCTGTTGGGGCAAATCCCACTTCATATGGTCAGCAACTGCACAGCAGTTCATACACTAAGGTATGAGTCAATCTTCACAGTCAGCCAGCCTGAAAGTCAATGCCACTCATGAACAGGCCAATAGGAATCAAGGCTCAATTACAATAGGAGGGCCCACATAACCCACACAAAGGACAGTCCTAAAGCACCCTGCTCAGGTGATCCCAGGACTGGGTCCCAGAGACCCTACTATGTAAGGCCACCCTACCAAGACTAAAGACATAGGAGATCTATCAAATACATAAAAATAAACACAAAGAGGATGTCAAAATGGGGAGACAAAGGAATATGCCCCAAATGAAAGAATAGAAAAAATTTCCAGAGAAAGAGCTAAATGAAGGGGAGGCAAGCAACTTACCAGACATAGAGTTTAAAAAAAAAAATGGTTATATGGATACTCCAGGAACTTAGTGAGAACTTCAACAAAGAAATAGCAAGCATAGTAAAGAACATACCAGATGTACTGGTTAATAATGTGTTTTTTCAACAGATGAAGTTACACATATGTTGATATATATGTGATTTGATATGTATGCTATTTTGTTGTGTTGACAGCAAGCTTCAAAACTCCTTATGTCAAATTTTCTGAAGGTGTTAAAATCATATTTTTACACTTAAAAATATCAAATTTCATGTCAAAAAAAGAGCATTTTGGGGAAGTTTTAATTCATTACTTTATTTTGAAGAAAAAGTTATCGTATACTTTGGGAAGTTTATGGTGAATATCCTCCATCTCAAGATACTTGTGAATGCTCGTTTAAACTCTTTAAAAGTGATGATTTCGATGTGAAAGACAAAGAACGTCCAGGTCAGCCAGAAAAGTTTGAAGGCCGACATTACAAGCATTATTGGATGAAGATGCGTGTCAAACTCAAAAACTACTTGCAGAAAGATTAAACGTTGCTCAGCAAACAATTTCTGGTCGTTTACAAGCAATGGGAAAGATTTTAAAGGAAGGAAAATGGGTGCCACATCAACTGAATGAAAGACAAATGGAAAACTGAAAAGTCATCAGTAAAATGTTGCTTCCACGGCATGAAAGAAAGTCTTTTTTGCATCAAATTTTGACTGGCGATGAAAAGTGGATTTATTTTGAGAATCCCAAATGCACAAAATCATTGGTTGACCCAGATCAACATCGACTGCAAGGCCAAATCCCTTTGGAAAGAAAACAATGCTCTGTGTTTGGTGGGATCAGGAAGGTGTGGTGTATTATGAGATTCTAAAACAGGTGAAACCATGAATACTAATCATTACCAACAACAAATAATCAATCTGAACAAGGCCTTGATCGTGAAATGACCAGAATGGTCCAGAAGACATGGCAAAGTAATTTTGCTTCATGATAACGCACCATCACACACTTCAAAGCCAGTTAAAGACGCGTTAAAAGATCTTGCCTGGGAAGTATTAACCCACCCACCATATTCACCAGACCTTGCTCCTTCAGATTACCACTTGTTCCGATTGATGGCACACGCACTTTCTGAGCAGCACTTCAAAATAAACGAAGAAAATTGGGTCTCTGAATGATTTGCCTCAAAACAAGAAAATTTCTATTGGGACGGTATCCACAAATTACCTGAAAGATGGGGGAAATGTGTAGCTAGCGATGGACATTACTTTGAATAAAGCACTTTTGATGTTTCTCTTGAAATCATCGTGTTTTCTTTGATTACAAAATTCTCCATTATTAACTGGTACACCTGGTAGAAACAATAAAAAATAAGCGATCAGAAATGAATAAAAAAAAAAAAACAGTCAAAAATTAACAATACAATATCTGAAATGAGAAATACACTAAAAGAAATAAATTGTAGGTTGAATGAAGCAGAGGATAGAATCAAAGATTTGGAGGACAAGGTAGCAGAAAACACCCAATCAGGGCAGCAAAAAGAAAAATGAATTTTTTAAATTTATCCTTATTGTTGAAAGAATTACAGATATCTCCTTTTTGCCCCATTGACCCTTTCTATCCCGCATTCGCACCCTGCCCTAGGCCTTCACCACACTATTGCCTGTACCCACTGGTTATAATATATGCATACAAGTTCTTTGGTTAATCTCTTCCCACCCACCTACAGACATCTTCCCTCTGAGATTTGACAGTATGTTTCACCTTCTATGTCTCTGGATCTTTTTGTTCATCAGTTCATTTTATGATACTTGTTTTTCTCTGACTGGCTTATTTCACTTAGCATAATACTTTCAAGGTCCCTACATGCTGTCTCAAAGGATAAGAGATCTTTCCTTTTTACTGCTGTAAAGTATTCAATTGTATAAATGTACAACTTTTTTATCCACTCATCTACTGATGGGCATTTGGGCTATTTCCAGATCTTAGCTATTGTAAATAACGCTTACATGAACATAGGGGTCCATACATTCTTTTTGATTGGTGCTTCAGGGTTCTTAGGATATAACCCTAGAAGTAGGATTACTGGGTCAAATGGCAGTTCCATTTTTAATTTTTTGAGGAAACTCCATACTGTTTTCCACAATGACTGCACCAGTCTGCATTCCCACCAGCAGTGTGTGAGGGTTCTTTTTTCTCCACATCCTCACCAGCACTTGTCATTTATTGATTTGTTGATGGTAGCCATTCTGACAGATGTGAGATGATACTTCATTATTGTTTTAATTTGCATCTCTCTGATGATTAGTAACTTTGACATTTTTTCATATATCTCTTGGCTATGTGTATGTCCACTTTGGTAAGGTATCTATTTAGGTCCTTTGCCCAGTTTTTAATTGGAATTTTTTCATCCTTTTGTTAAGATGTATGAGTTCTTTATGTATTTTCAATATTACTAGCAAATATATTCTCCCATGCAATGAGCTCTCTTGTCATTTTGTTCATGGTTTCTTTTGCTGTGCAGAAGCTTTTTAAGTAGTCCCACTTTTTTACATTCTCCTTAGTTTCCTTTGTGTTGAGTGAGACTCCTTCCATGACCTGCGTGGAGTAGGGTTCGGTATCTGAAAGAGGAGCCGCACAACAAATGAGAGAAAAAGACACGAGATAATTTTGCAATATTGGGGGACCAGGCGGCAAGTCCCAAAGGACTTCCCCCGTGCTCAGGCCTCACCAAGCTTTTATTGATCTGGGATGCACCCATAGCATAGCCCTTAGGCAGGTGACCCCCTAGTAACAAGCAGACTAGCCCATCAGCAAGGATTTACATAATAATAAATGGGGGAGTAGTTTCAGCTACCACTGTCTGGACAAACAGAGGTGGCGCCTAGCTCCGAGCTTTGCTAGGGCTTCAAAGGCACCCAGCCTTCGGGGTGTTTCGGGGAGTTCTCTGTCTATGCTTATCAGATAGTGAAGGCAATAAACAGTTTCCCACACTTTGCCCTAGGACATGTGTTGCTATGAGAGATGTCTGAGATTTTGCTGCCAATAGATTCTTCTAAGATTTTTATAATTTCCTGTCTTACATTTAAGTCCTTTATCCATTTTGAGTTTATTTTTGGGTATGGTATAAGTTGGTGGTCTAGTTTCACTTTTTTGGCATGTATCAGTCCAATTTTCCCAATACTGTTTATTGAAGAAACTGTCTTTACTCCATTGTGTGCTCTTGCCTCCTTTGTCAAATATTAATTGAGCATAATGGCTTGGGTTTATTTCTGCGGTCTATGTTCTGTTCTTGTTCTGATCTATATTCCTGTTCTTATGCCAGTATCCGGCTATTTTGATTACAGTGGCATCCTATCTAATAACAGACAAACACAGTAATTGACCGTACCTTCGCTATGCCTCCCATTGGCTAATCAGCGTGATATGCAAATTAACCACCAACAAAGATGGCTAATTTGCATACTGCAGGCAGGGTGGGACAGCGCGATCCCTCCTGCCCCGCCGCCATACGGGCCTGCTATTTGCGATCCGGGGCAGCTGGGTGGTGCAGCAGCGATCGGCCAGCCCACCCGGCCGCCACCCGGGCATCCCATGTACGACCCGACCTGGGGCGGCCGGGCGGGGCAGCAGCGATCCACCGGCCCACCCGCTGCCATCCAGGCGTCCCGTGTGTGCAACCCGACCGGGGCGGCGCCCCAACCCCCAGATTGGCCCTGCTGTGTGCGCAACCCAGGGAGGCGGGGCAGGCACCAAGGGATCGGGCCTGCCATTTGCCACCCAGGAGCGGGCCTAAGCCAGCAGGTGGTTATCTCCTGAGGGGTCCCAGACTGTGAGAGTGCACAAGTGAGGCTGAGGGACACCCCCCCCCCCGGCCAGTGCACAAATTTTTGTGCACCGGGCCTCTAGTTATAGTATAATTTGATATCTGGTATTGTGACCCATCCAACTTTGTTTTTTCTCAAGATGGCTGCAGCTATTTGGGGTCATTTTTTGGTTCCATATAAATTTTTAGAGTATTTGTTCTAGATCTGTGAAATATGCCATTGGTATTTTAGTAGGGATTATACTCTGTGTAATACTCTTTAGCTTGCTTTGGGTAATATGGACATTTTAATTATGTTAATCCTACAAATCCATGAATGTGGTATATTCTTTCACTTACTTGTATGTTCTTTTTTTAATTGACTTAGGAGAGGAAGGAAGAGGAAGAGAGATAGAAACATCAATGATGAGAGAAAATCATTGATCAGCTGCCTCCTGCATGCCCCCTACTGGGAATCGAGCCTACAACTCAGGCATGTTCCCTTGACTGGAATCAAACTTGGGACCCTTCAGTCGCAGCCTGATGCTCTATACACTGACCCAAACCAGTTAGGGATTATTTATACCTTCATCTATCTCTTTTTTTCAAAGTCCTATAGTTTTCAGAGTACAGGTCTTTCACTGCCTTGGTTAAGGATATTCCTAAGTATCACAAATTTTTTTGTCACAATGGTAAATGGAATTGGTTTTCTTTTTTAGTTTCTCTTTCTGATAATTCATTATTGGTTTATAAAATGCCTGATTTCTGGGTGTTAATTTTGTATCTTGCTACATTGCCAAATTAATTTATTAAAACTGGTAGTATTTTGGGAGGAAACCAAGACGGTGGCATAGGTAAACACCGGAGTTTGCTGCCTTGAACAACCATTTCAAAAATACAACTAAAAGAAGGAACGGGCATCATCCAGAACCAGAGGAGGGCTGGCTGAGTGGAAATTCTACAACTAGAAGGAAAGAGAAAAGCATCCCAAGACTCAGAGGAGGCACAGTGCGGAAGTAAAATACTAAGGTGCGGAGGTGCATGCGGAGCGGGCTGGCGGCTGAGGGTGCGGTTGTGGTTTTCAATTGGGAGGGAGTCTCAGCCTCTGAGCTCCAGTTACGGGTGAGTCTCTGGGGACCCAGACTCATACGGGAGAAGCGGGACTGTCTGGCATCGGTCGGAACTCAAGGGCAGCTTTCTCTCCAAGGGGCTTGCAGCGATTACTGGGACATTTAGAAGCAGAGCCTCTGAGGGTAGGACTGAGAGCAGCCATAACTGCTAGCCCCACCTTGTTGATCCCGTGGGACCTGCCCCGCCCAAGCCCTGCAGGGAGGCTTTTGCTGGATAGCCTCAGGCAAAAGCTACATTAGCACCTCCCTGGAGATCCAGGAGCCAGGAAACCCAGAGGTCAGAGTGGGACCATCCAGTTTGCCGCTCCGTGGAACCATAAAGGACACACTCAGGGGGCAGGCTCAGTGAGCACCAAAGCCCCACTGAAGCAAGTTTTGCCCCAGAGGGGTGTCTCCAGCACAGAAGTTCTCCCACTGCAGACACAGCTGATTCTCACAGCCAATTGGCCGGGAGGTGAATTCCTCCCAGTGATAGCTACAGCAATCAAGGCTTAACTACAACAAGACTGTGCACAAAGCCCACAAGGGGGTGCACCAAGAGTGTCCTCCTCAGGTAATTGGGGAGGCTGAACCACTGGGCCCTAGAGGGCACTTAGCACAGAAAACCACTTTATCAACACAGGGAAGCATAAAAAATGTGGAGACAAATAAAAAGGACACAAATGACATAAATGGAGGAAAGCAAACTACTGAATATAGAATTCAAAACCACACTTATAAGGTTTTTCAAGAATTTTCTAGAAACTGCCGATAAACTTAATGAGATCTACAAGAAAACTAATGAGACCCTCAAGGTTGTGATAAAGGACCAAGTAGAAATTAAGCATACACTGACTGAAATAAAGAATATTATACAGACTCCCAACAGCAGACTAGAGGATTGCTAGAATCAAGTCAACGATTTGAAATACGAAGAAGCAAAAAACACCCAACCAGAAAAGCAAAATGAAAAAAGAATCCAAAAATACGAAGATAGTGTAAGGAGCCTCTGGGACAGCCTCAAGCATACCAACATCCGAATTATAGGGGTACCAGAAGAAGAGAGAGAGCAAGGTATTGAAAACCTATTTGAAGAAAAAATGACAGAAAACTTCCCCTACCTGGTGAAAGAAATAGACTTACAGGTCCAGGAAGCGCAGAGAACCCCAAACAAAAGGAATCCAAAGAGGACCACACCAAGACACATCATAATTAAAATGCCAAGAGCAAAAGACAAAGAGAGAATCTTAAAAGCAGCAAGAGAAAGAAAGTCAGTTACCTACAAGGGAGTACCCATACGAATGTCAGCTGATTTCTCAACAGAAACTTTGCAGGCCAGAAGGGAGTGGCAAGAAATATTCAAAGT